TCCCGGCCAAGGGGGACACGGAGCTCACCCACCGCACGACCCCGAGCCGAGGGTGGGATTCCGAGGGTGGGCACAGGGGTAACTCATGCACATGCACACGTGCTCCTGCACACGTGTCCCTCCCCACACACGTGGCCACAGGCCATGCCAGCCCCCCCGCTCACCTCCAGGGACCCCACTTTCATGGCAGAGCCGGGGACGGTGCGGGGCATGGTGCGGCTGCGCTCCGACAGCTCCGAGGCCAGGATCTGCCGCACGGTGGGATGCTGCTTGAACTGGAGGCCGTAGGGAGCCTTCACCGTCCCGTAGGGCTGGTTCAAGTTCACGTTGACGTGGTCCACCGCCACGAAGCCGGGGTAGGTGTCACCTTCGGCCGCCGGGCGCCCTGTCCCGCCGGGCACCCCCTCGTCGGCGCCGGGACCGAGGGTCCCCTCATCCCGCGGGAAGGGCTTGAGGCTGCCGGTGCGGCGGGGCAGCATCATGTAGTCGCTCTCCCGGGGGGGCTCGGGGGCCCGGATCCAGCCGTATTCCAGGGGCCGCAGGCTGCTCTCCGTGCACAGGTAGACGGGACCCGGCGCGTCCAGGCTGAGCTGCTGTGCCGGCGGGTCGCCGAGCTCGCCCAGGCCTGCCACCACGTTGGGCGTCATCTTGGGGACCTGGACCAGGATGCTGGTGGGAGGGATGTTCCCTGGCAGGCTGGAGAAGCCCAGGCCACCCTCCGACGTGGTGTTGAGCTTGGGGTCTTCGTCCCCGTCCAGGGAGATGCGGGACAACGTGCCCGTGATGGTGGCAGGGTTGCAGGTGTTCACCTCCTTGAACAGCACTGTGGGCAGGGAGGGGGTCAGCATCAGCTCCGGGGGTCCCAGGGGAGGGTGAGGAGGCAGGAGTGACCCCCTGGCACATGCTGCCTGTCCCTCCCAGCTGTGGCACGGTGACATCCCTGTCCCCAGTGCAGGGTGCAGGGGAGACCTCACCTGTCTGACACGCCAGGTCAACGTCCTTTTCAAAATCTGTCTATAAAAATACAGAAAGAGGGGAAAGAGCGAGAGAGAGAGGAGAGAAAGAGAGGGAGAAAGAAGGGGAAATGAAGCACCTTGGCCAGCACAGGGAGCAGCAGGGCCTCGAGGGGTCCCTGCCCCAGCAGCGTGACGGCCCTGCCGGTGCCGGCACAGCCGCACTCACCAGGATCTGCACCTGCCCGTTTTTGCAGGAGTCAGGCGAGTTTTCATTCTCCTCGCTCCTGCACACCCCCATCTGACACTTCACCACGTCCTGGACCTGCAGGGACAGAGCCGGTCACGGCCCCGCGGCCAGGGGTGTCCCCCGGCACCCCTCCGGGGCCGCCCCACCTCTCGGCGCAGGAACCCGTGCACGGTGATGATGACGAAGCCCTGGACGGAGTTGAAGACGGCGAAGAGGACCTGGAAGAGGATGGAGCGCCGGTCGGTCATGGCGAGCACGGCCGACATC